TTCCTGCCCCCCGTACAACCCCCCCCCAGTTTCTATACTGAGCATGATGCCATATGGTATGGAATAACCCTTTGGGCAGTTTGGGTCAGCTGTCCTGGCTGTGCCCCCTCCCAGTTTCTTGTGCACCTGGCAGAGCATGGGAAGCTGAAAGGTCCTTGACTGGCATAAGCAGTACTTAGCAACAACTAAAACATCAGCGTGTTATCGATATTATTCTCATCCTAAATCCAAAACACAGCACTGTGCCTGCTGCTAGGAAAAAAATTAACTCTATCCCAGCCAAAACCAGAACAAGTGATTATCCAAAAGGGGACCCTGTAATCTACTTTAGCCATCAGGTACCAGAACTACAGAAAGGAGAGCAAACACAGTACTCCTCATCTCCCTCCATCAAAAAGCAGATACAGACACATGTGTGCAAAAACACAGGCAAGAAAAGAAAGATTGATCCAAACTTTAAAGTGAACAAATGATGTCTATAACCTCAAAATCTGATCTTTAATTGCAAAATAAAAGGCCAGTCAGTTACTTAGTTCTGTCTAATCAGTCAAAGAATCTCCCTTCTTTGCAAAGCCATAAAGAAGCCAAGTGTTTGTGTGGATAGGAAGGGAGGGACATATGTATAGATATATACAATTTATTATAAGAGCCAGAAGTTTCTGGCCCAAATAAAGCCTCTACATCTCTGATCCTGCAAAGGAAACACTGTAATTACCTTGCAATAGACATTAGCTACAATCACAGTGACAGTTCACTCACTGAAGAGCATTTTAAATAAAATAGGTTTCTTAGTGTGATGCTAGAGAATTAGAAGGACCAAGATGAATCGGTCATTTTTACAAATACATGGTTCTTATGCCACAAAACATTACAACAAAGGACCTTGCTTATTAAAAGATGCAGCACTGTTTTTCCAAGGATTGTAAAATATATGTTCACTGTACTCACTGTTTCTGTCAGGAGAGCATAACCTGTGCAGGAAAATGTGGTACATTACTTTTCCTGTATGTTTTCTGCTTTCACTGCACAATCTGTTCTTTGTCATTACGTCCCCGAGCGGTGAAAGGAAAGGAGAGCAAAGGATTGCTCTTCTTGTTCTCCACCCCTTCCCAAAGAAAAGAAGGGTAGCGGAAGAGAACTGTTCTAAACTTCAAGGAGGAAAAAATGAAGCCTAAGGCCTCCAAAGCTAGTCACCCTCTAACTGAGAAAGAAAGGGAAAAGTAAGGCTGGTCAACAAGGTGAATTCTAGGTGCATCTAACAAGTTACACATTAAGTAC